GATGATAGGAGGCAACATCATCACCACCACCATCGCCAGATAATAGAAGGCTATATCACCACCACCACCAGATGATAGGAGGCTACATCACCACCACCAACACCAGATGAGAGAAGGCTACATCACCATCACCACCAGATGACAGGAGGCTACATCACCACCACCACCACCACAGACCAGATGACAGGAGGCTACATCACCACCACCACCTGCCACCAGAAAACAGAAGGCCAAGTACCACCACCACCACTAGGCAACAGAGTTACATCACCACCACCACCAGATGATAGGAGGCTTTATCACCACCACCACCACCACATCACCAGAGATAATAGAAGGCTATATCACCACCATCACCAGATGACAGGAGGCTACATCATCACCACCACCACCAGGTAACAGAAATCTACATCACCACCACCAGATGACAGAAGGCTACATCACCACCACCACCAGACCAGATGACAGGAGGCTACATCACCACCACCACCACCACTCAGGATGAGACAGGAGGCGACATCACCACCACCAGGTAACAGAAAATCTACATCACTACCACCAGATGACAGAGAAGGCCAGCATCACCACCACCACCAGACCAGATGAAAGGAGCCTACATCACCACCACCACCACCACCACCAGATGACAGGAGGCGACATCACCACCATCACCAGATAATAGAAGGCTACATCACCACCACTAGATGAAGGTGGAGGTTACATCACCACCACACCACCAGATGATAGGAGGCTACATCACCACCACCACCAGGTAACAGAAAGCTGACTTCACCACTACCACCAGATGACAGGAGGCTACATCACCACCACCACCAGGTAACAGAAAGCTACATCACCACCACCAGATGACAGGAGGCTACATCACCACCACCACCAGATGATAGGAGGCTACATCACCACCACCACCAGGTAACAGAAAGCTACATCACCACCACCACCAGATGGCAGGAGGCACCATCACCACCAGATGACAGGAGGCACCACCACCACCACCAGATGACAGGAGGCAACACCACCAGATGGCAGGAGGCTACATTACTACCACTAACACCAGATGTCTGAGGCTACATCACCACTACCATTAGATGAGAAGAGGCTACATTACCACGAACAACACCAGTTGTCTGAGGCTACTTTACCACCATCAACACCTGACTGAGGCTACATTACTACCACCAACACCAGATGACAAGAGGCTACATCAACACCAGGTGACTGAGGCTAAATCATCACCAGCATGTGACAGGAGGCTGCATCACCACCACCAGATGACTGAGGCTACATCACCATGAATGACAAAATTACAAATAAATGCTTATGTTGTTATTTGGGAGCTACTATAGTATGTAGTCTACAGAGTTGGAGCTACTGTAGTATGGAGTCTACACAGCTGGAGCTACTATGGCATGTAGTCTGCAGAGCTGGAGCTACTGTAATGTGCAGTCTACAGAGCTGGAGCTACTGTAGTATGCAGTCTATAGAGCTGGAGCTACTGTAGTATGTGGTCTACAAAGCTGGAGTTGTGTCTACCTTGATATTTACACTGTAGCATCCACTAACATAAGATAACCTAGGTTATGTTAGGTTCGTGGATGCTACAGTGTAAATATCCTGGTAGACACAGTTCCAGCTCTGTAGACCACATACGACAGCAGCACCAGTTCCGTAGACCACATACTACAGTAGCTCCAGCTCTGTAGATCACGCCTGCCTGCCTGCCTGCCTGCCTCGGGGCCTACCTGTTTGCCTGACAGCCTGCCTTCCTACGGAACGCTCGGCCTGCCTACCTACTGGCCTACCTCCATGCCGAGAGCCCGGCCTACCTACCTACCTAATGGTTGCACCTCGTGTAAAGAGGATGGCCGGCCCAAGGTTTTAAGGTGTAGAAGCTGTCGCCAAGACAACAACCACACCTTAAGTTAACGAGCTGCATGACCCAGCCCAGGGTCAAGGAATAGTCCGAGAAGACCGGACAAATCGCCAACTGCACTGACTATCCATTACCCCGGAACACATTCCGCATATCGATTAACAGCCAGGTCCCCAATTACTGCCGAGTAGACAAAGGCAACCGTGGTAACATAAGATGTTCTTATTACTACCATGCTATTGTACTATTCCAGATGATACTAAATGTTACATAATACTTCTTTGAGATAAATGTATAGTATATAGCCTATCAGGTGTCTCAACGAGAGCTCAGGTTCTCAACTGGCTCAGCTATGTTAATATTGTTATTATTATCCACTCTGTATCTGTGATTTTCTGGCTAAATAAACTGTTTAAATTCAATTCAATTCAATTCAATGCCTACCTACCTATCTATCTACCCATCCACACTCCTACCTAACTACCTACCTACCCACCCACCTACCTACCCTAACTACCTACCTACATACCCACCCACCTAACTACCTACCTACCTAACTTCCGACCAAACTACCTACCCATAAGTAGATTGTCTATTTTTCT